CATTTCACTACGAAACAAGAGGCCACAACAACAATTGACTTACAAAATCATAGGAGTTGTACTGTCAGCTATTAACAGTAGTAGCTTACTTTTGCTAATACTAGCAAGCTACCATGCTATTTATTACTCTTGAAGCTGAAAATAATCCCGAAATAAACATTTTAAAACATACTTCCTTACCATATGAATAAGTTAAAATAAATTATTCATGTTAGACATTTATATTGTTAGTTTTTCACTTACCGGTCAATCGGCCATTGATTCACATGAACTGTGACAGGTGTTCTTCTCTCTTTTGTTTACTGTGGCAGAGTGCGTTCACATATCCAGAAGGGCGCGGCTTAAGGATTATACCTGATGGGAGGGGTGAGAGTTCTGGGACCGTGTTTGCGTAAACCAAGCCCCCACAATTCGGTTCTGACAGTGAGGCCAACGCGGAAATGAACTAAATTGCAGTTCCACCCTCATCCACTAGGGGCTGGTGTCAGAAGCGAGCAAATCCTCATTGACTCCCATGTTAAAAATACCAATTTCACAGCAGAAATAAACATGTTTACAGCCTGGTACCAAAACATGTTTTTGTTTAAATGATCTAGTTTACACTCATGACAACTCCGAGGGGGGTGAATTATTTTTTGTCACTCTTCTTTTTAAGTGTATTAAAAGCCTAAAATTCTGTATAATTAATGAGCATCAGACCCACGTGAGCTCATCCCCCAAACAATGGTACTCATAATTAAAAAACTAGCAGCAACAGGTTCAACTTTTTGTGTTGGCCTTCTGATATTGTGGTGTTATGGGTTAATTCTGACTTTAAAGAGAAGTCTCCTTATGTTTCAATGTTTATTTGAGGACCTGATGTCTGTATGAGATGATGTTTTTATATTAGAAAATATAGCACGAGGATAATAATGTTTAGTAGTTGCATAAAGTGTTGTGGAGGTTTAGCAATAAAACATCAGACAAATGTCTAAAATAGTTTCACACAGGTTGTACATGTGTGAATTTCATCTTTTGTTTCTCCTCCACATCTCTTCAAAGTGTACTGTGTGAGTGATTGATTTCTATATCATGGGAGGAAACAGAAAAACAAAAGCACAAGTAATTGTCCACAGAAATGCGTTGTAGACTTTTCTAAAGTTATGATTTTAACAAAACTGTGTGGTCAAGGTTCTTAACTTGATGTTCAACAGACACTTAAGCTCTCCATACTGTTAGCCTTTTTGTGTCACCAAAATTTAAAAACATGTTATTTGTTTTTATTGTACTTGTCTTTCAGGGCGTTCATGCGAGAAAAAAAAAGGATGCAACGTCTCAAGGTGGACTTGTGACACAGTCAAACACCCAAAACAATTGGACGCTACCTCATGTGGGGTCTGCATTGAAAGTACGAGTCTTAACCGTAATGCATACACATATACAAGAATATTGGAAATGTGTTGCAGGGGTGGACATTAACTTCAAAACCAACCGGCCAGTGGGGCCGGTAACTCTGAATATTTACCGGCCCCGCCAAGAATCTACCGGCCCCGCTGGTCAGCTGCCAAAACGAGTCAAAATAACAACTGAACCGTTTTAAATGTAATAAACCTTTATTTTGTACACATTCACAAACATAATAACGTATTCAAGTTTGAATTTGTTTGTTCCCTCAACAAAACACGATTTTGTCGTTGCATACTTACGGCATACAACGCAGTACATCATCAACTCCGCTTTGCTGTATTCGAGCCATTGGCTGTGTTCGAGATGAGCCATTTCTGCGCAGATTAGACCAGCGGTGATCGGCGAGCAGCGCATGCCGGTTAGATTTGTGTCCGAATTGACGCCGACTTGCTCTGACGTCATACATACGTAAGCAACGATAACCTTGTGAGATCAAGGCGGCCGCAGATTTTGGAGCAAGGCGCTGCAGTTGTTCTCCCTCGGCTGCAAAACCTAGAGGATGACGGGAAACGCCTGGCTCTCACCTGATCTAAGATCTGATTGGTTCATATTTTGATCCAAACATCCGGTGGTAGAACATGAAATGTTAGTTGGTCACATGTATTCTGTAAATCATGTTATGTTGATGATGACAACTATATAGGCCATAAAGAGAAATGTGTTTTGTTTTCTTTTGTCACGTTTCCTATGAGCACACTAAAGCTACAGCTGCTAACCTTTACTTATTATTACAGTCATGTTTTCATATAGAATATATGATATTCACAAGCATGTGAGGATGTGTTTCAGCTGCTAACAGGCACCAGAATTAAAATTGAACAAGTGTGAATGCTAACGCGATATCTTCAGCCATCGTCACCCCCGAGCTACACATGCAAGGAAATCCAAGAGATTCAACTGGCAGAAACAACTGGTTCACACCATAGGTGTTTTTTTTCTCTCACTCACTCACTCACACACACACACACACACACACACACACACACACACACACACACACACACACACACACACACACACACACACACACACACACACACACACACACACACACACACACACACACACACACACACACACACACGTAGAGGAAAAGAGCTGAGGAAATGGAGGACACCAAGTAGTTAAAGGAAAAACTACAGCTGAGCCGAGGCGTCTGATCTGAACTGAGAAGCGGCGAGCGGCGGCCGGACTTCGTGAGCGATTCGCTTCGGGCGCTTTTGCGGCCGGTGTGTCCTCGGCATTAAACGCCGGCTTTCAGCCACTCCCCCTGCTGCTTCCGTCTGCTCTCGTCTGTTTTCCAGGCGAGCCGCTGCTCAACTCGAAAACGGCCATTCTCTGCGCCTCCCGTCTGCTATAAACCGCCAAGAATCATTCCACCTACGCACACGCTTCTATGCTTCATACCGTGTCGAACTGTCTCGCTTCTCACCAGTTTTAAAGCGTTTTGCCAGAGATTTCATCAAGAAATCCAATCCCTGTGGTGGCGCGATCTTCCTGCGTGCTTGTGTGTTTCTAGCGTGGTTCCACTTCGTCTTTAATAGTGAACTTATAGTTCACGTGACTATGAGTAGAATCGTGCAGTACGTGCACGAATCGTACAAGTGCAGTACGTGGCTAGAGGCGCGCAGGTTCACGCGCGCGAAACGAAAACGGCGGCTTCCTACAGGGCGGGGCCATGATGTAGGTGAAAGCCGGTGTGTAAATGACAAATAAAGCTTGGGCGCCACCCGGGCGGTAAGTCGTCAAGTATTTACCGCCCGACGAGAAACTTTAGCGCCATTGACGCTCGGGCGCTTTAAAGGTCCACCCCTGGTGTTGTAATAAATGTTAATGACAGGAAAAGGAATATAAGATAATTACACAAGAGAATAAAGAAATTGATTTAAAAAAACACATTTCTATAAAATAACATGTAAGAAATTAGCCTATTTGGTCATCTTAGAATCTCTTTTTCAGTTTGCCGAAAAGATCTTGCAAAAAGAGTCAATAGACTTTCCATCTACAAAAAAGGCCGTGAATATACAGGCTGCAAATTGCCACCACTCTCCTCCTAGAGACAGGTAACTAATTTTCCACCATTCAGTGTTCTGACATCATGAATATTTTCATCATGGCTGTAGAAACAAACAATATAGTTGTTTGAATGAAGTAATAAGAGCAGTAGGTAGTATAGTCCATGTGCTACTTTTTCACTTTTTAAAACAGATGACCTGACAAACATCTGTCATTTCTGCGGGGAAGAAGAGCATGAAACTGACAATAAATGGGTAATGTCATCATGAAAGACTGCTAAATGTTATGATCAAATCCCATAAATGAAATGTAAACATTGGGATTTGTATTTTTTTTTTACAGATTCAGTGTGAGATGTGTTTGCGGTGGTTCCACCAGCTCTGCTTGAAAAGCCCACCACCAGAAGACGTGTTTATTTGTTTCGCTTGTACATAATTGACACTAAAGGTGCACAGCTAGTGTTCTTATGGCACACATAGTTGAGAACACACATATCTACATGTATAGATGTAGATGTTAAATTAAGAGGTCTAAAAAAAAGAAAATGTTCTCCAAAGTTTCTGTAGTTATTAGTTATACTGTGACTTATTTTGCAAATAAAGTATTTCGTGATAACAACGCCAGTGTGCATTATTGGGGGGGGGGGGGGGGGGGGGGGGCGGCACATTTTGGCAGCCGAGGCCACACAGCCTGATTTAAAATCTGTATCCCTCCTTAACTTTTGCTGTGAAGAAACCCTCTGCAACGTTACTGTAGTTATTGGTTATACTGTGATTGATTTTGCAAATAAACTATTTCGTGATAACAACTCCAACAAAAACAAAGTGTAAACCGAGTGTAAATTCACCGAACTTTCCATGATCACGTCTGGTTTTACAGTATTGTAGTATCAAAGTATTTTTCTATACAGTGTTCCCAGCAGGTTATTCCACACGGCACATTACAATGTCACGAAACTAATATTAAATTAATAGAGCCTGCTGTTTCCCAGCTTTTACTCTTTATTGCGTCGACTGCAGATCAGTGACAAGTAGCGTACAGAACGGAGCTGGGCAAGTGGCTCCTCCTACTTTGCGCGCTCCCGTGAATGGGGAAACAATTTTTAACGGGGGTAACTACTTTGGCACAACACCGGTTGTAGCTAGGTTGCTACCTCCGTTAGCTTAGCTCCCACCTCCGCGTTAGCTTTGGGTTAGATTGTAGCAACATTAGCTTCAGTTCGACATTTGATCCCAGCCTTACAGCCCCACCCTCAGCTCCACCTCTCTTCCCTTTTGTGTAGCCTACATCACATCATTCTGGGCCATTTTCTGAATCTAAATTAACTCCAAAATATCTAAACTGGACTACTCATCCACTTTGGGAGATTGAATCAGTCTTTGTTTATAGAAATTGTTCTACATTTCACATCACACAGGGGCCTTTACGTCACCTTTATTTACCATAAATGGCTAAAACTGGTCCTGTTCTGCCACAATAATCACGTAATTTATGCTAATCCTAAAGCTCTTCCCCTCGGTACCCGCTGGTTTTCTTACCTGCCCTGTGTGAGCTGCTCTGTGGTTTCCAGCTCATATCCGACAGTCTGCGCTGGCCACCGAGCCCTTCCTCGAACGGGGCCATGGCTTCTTGAACCTTCGCGATGATTTCTCTAGCAGTAGCTACTTGCCTGGTGACAAACTCCATCAGAGACTCTCCTGAATACATGTTTAATATTCACCTCACAAGGCTAAACAATAAACTAAAGTTGCTAACGGTCTTCTTCTTTTTCTGTTCCTTCCTCTTGTCCACGAGGCTGAAGTTAGGTTCCGTTCGCGACGATTCAGGAAATGGCTAAAAGGCGCACACACGCTAAAAGGGGCAATTTAGTTTGAAAACGGGAACGCCGCCTGTTAGCAGAGTGTCGTTGTACGCAGCGGTCGGTCCAAACATCCCAAGCGGAGTCCCAGGTTAAAAGGTAGGAAATAAACGATAGATACAGAGCTTCTTGTTTCAATGGGCTTTCACTCGCGCTAGCAACTTTGCAGACACCAATGCTCCCCTCTTAGTGGTGCATCTTCTTCTTCGTGTTTAATGGCGGGTGGCACCCAACTTCTAGGCGCATTTCCACCACCTACTGTGCTGGAGGGTGAGTCGGAGTAAGAGCGTAAAAAAAAACTAAATTCTGTTCAACAAACCACAGTGTTTTAGATACTCAATAACCAACTTATATTTCCTTTCTTCACCATTCAACAAATTCTTTACATTTATCACTCCACCTCCTATGTTTTTTAATTTCTCCCTGAGTTGTCCTCTACTTTCCTCATATTTTATGCAGTCACATAAAACATGTTCCACTGTTTCTACCCCCACCCCACATCCACACAAACCTGTGGGATGTTTCCCTATCAGATGCATCGTATTATTAAGCCCAGTATGTCCCATTCTCAATCTTGATATTATTCTTTGATCTCTACTATTCATTCTTATATTTTTCCATTTTCCTACTTTCCCTTGTATCTGAAATAAATGTCTTCCTTTCTCTTCCCTTTCCCACATTCTTTGCCACTCTTCCATTACATGTGCTTTAATGATTTAATTTAATTTCAGCGGCACTATATGCAATATTAATTATTTCTCTCTCTCTTGTTGCCTTTTTTGCAAAATAATCTGCCATTTCGTTTCCTTCTACTCCTCTATGTGCCGGTACCCATAAAAATTTAACTTCCGTACCCAATTTCCTTAATCTAAATATGGTCTCATATATTTAATATAATACATCTATTCGACTCTTGGTAGACATTAATTTAACTGACACTAATACAGATAATGAGTCATAACATATAATTCCTTTTTTAATTCTATTTTGTTCCATCCATTGAAGACTAAATAAGATAGCTAACATCTCCACTGTGTACACAGATAAATGATCTAGAGTTCTTTCCCTAACTACTACTCCTATAAGTGGTATTACAAATGCAAAACCGGTTTTTCCCCCTACCAGTTCCTTTGATCCATCTGTAAAGATTTGCACAAAAGACTCATCGCTTTTTAATCTATCTTCTGTAATTTTATCCCAATTTCCTTTCCCCCCACTGCTTCTCATCATAAATACTATAATCAACACACACTTCCGGAAATATCCATTTTCGATTAACCGTAAAAAAACTTTTTAATTTCTACTTTATCTTGGATCTTACTCTTTTTTGCCAAATCTTGCACTTTCCAGCTACCGTATTCCTTCTTCAGTTTCTCCTTTTCCCAACACGGACTTTGCCATGTGTTCGTTGTCCTCACACCCTTGTATACTTGCCCAATAATTTAAAGCTACCTGTTTTATCCTAAGCTGTATTGGCATCTCTCCCATTTCTACCTGTATTGCCACAATAGGTGTAGTTTTTATTGCTCCACAACACACTCTTAATGCTTGACTTTGTATGATTTCAATCCGTTTCATTAATGTTTTAGATGCTGAACTATAAACTATACTCCCATAATCTATCACTGATCGTATCATTGCACTGTACATGTATGTATGTCTGATCTCAGAATTGTGTGTACTGAAACTCTAATTTCCCTCTGGGATTAATAAAGTATCTTTGATTTTGAATTGAATTGAATGTCCACGCTCTTAAGTTCAGATGTGAAATACGGCTAATTAATTCTAATAATACAAAATGTTATCACCAGGAAGGCAAGTTATGCTTATTTAATTATGCGAATATACAAATATATTTTTATTTTTAACATTCATATCTTTATTCTTTGCAGTCTGGATGAACAAAAGGGAATAACTGTGGGATCAACATACAGGAATGAAGGGCAGGCCAAAGTGTTTGTGCACTATAAAGCTGAGGTAGAAACAAACAACATTAGAGAGAATCTTAAAAACACAACATTTCTCTCTATAACCACTGATGGCTCCACAGACAGTTCTGTGAAAGAGGAGGAGTTGGTATATGTTAGATTTAGTCACAAAGGCAAAATCAAGTCAACATTTGTTGGCATCAAGTCAGTGGAGAAGGCAGACGCATCACACATTAGCAAAGCCTTTAGTGACATCAAGGATGAAGTGAGTGATGACTAGGGAAGCAAACTGGTCGCTATGGGAACAGAAGGAGCGGCAGTAATGACTGGAGCAAAAAATGGAGTAGTCAGCAAGTTGAAGGGTGACCGGACCTACATCACTGGCATTCACTGCATGGCACACCGCCTCGAATTGAGCTTTTCTGATGCTATGCGCTCAAATGTGATGTTTCAGAAAGTGGAAGACCTGCTATCTGGGCTATACACCTTCTATCACATCAGTCCACTCAACAGGGCAAACCTAGTTAACAGCTTTCAGGTTCTTGGCCAAAAGCTATAGGTGCCCACCAGAATAGGTGGGACCCGTTGGGTAGGACACCTGCTGTGTGCCCTGATTTGGTGATGCAGAACTGGAAACACTTGTGGGCCACTTCAAGCCTGTCCTGGAGACCTCTGGTGTCCACGCTGAAAGCATTCCTGACCAGTGGACTGCCTTCAAGTCGCTCATGTATCAACAGCCTGGGACCCTGCCGAAGATGTCATGGATCGCAGTAAACAGACGCTTTCAGCATTCCTGCCCTGATTTGCTGGCATCGATCGACCTGGTGCTGTCCCTCCCTCCCTCAACTGCTGAGTGTTTAAGAGGCTTTAGCACCATGAAGCCAGTTAAAAATGACTGGAGGTCCAATATGAGCCCTGACACACTTTCAGATGTTCTCATGGTGCAGCTGTGTTTTCCAGAGGTCAAGGACTATGACCCAAATGAGGCTGTAATGCTTTGGCACAAAGACGGTGTCAGAAGCAGGAGGCCAGATTCACGGACAGAGAAAACAAGGAGTCTGACTAGATTTCAGTGAAACAGTTCATAAAAACATCTCTAAAAAAGAAATAGTAAAATGACAAAAGAGTTCTTTTTCTTATTAACTGATGTTTTAATTATTTTGTCACTCCTCTCTGTTTGGAATCAACATATTATAGAATAACATGCTTTAGGTAGATTTAAATCACGTAGAATTTTGGCCCGTAGATTTTTTAATCATCTACCAGCCAACTTGGTCGGTGAGTCAAAATTTTTATTTCGGACCCTGGATACTCTTGTGTGAAATCTTATTGTGCTACTGCTATTTTAGTGTATTGTGCTGTTTCAATACTGCAATTTCCCCACTGAGGGATGAATAAAGGTATTCTTATTGTTCAGTAATAGGACTTCAGCTAAAACTGCAACTGCATTTGGATCGTTGCGTCACCCTACATTGTTCCATGAATTATTGGAGTGTGTTTATTCGTTAAGTTGCACTGTACAGGTAAACAATACTTTATCTGGCTATACAAACATTTTCTATAATTACTAGGTTGTACGGAGCTGTCATGTTCTGTGGTAAATGTTTAACCCAGGACATGCAGAATCAATACACGGAAGCTGGTGGTAGGAATAATAATGATTTAAGAAAAGATGATTCCAGGAGTAACTGGTAATCAGCGAATGAGTGACGGGAGCAGCGTCTGAGGGGAAGAGGAGCAGAGGTGAGACTTTGATAAGGTAATATGGTAGAGGATGCGCTTGGGAGGAGGACTTACGGGCAAAGCGAAGTGAAGTTTGTCCGGGGAGGGGTGAGCTGGAAGAGCGAGCAGATATCCAGGGTTGAGGCAGATCGACGGGGTTCCAACCGGAGGTGATGAGAGAGAGAGCGAGAGCGAGAGCAGGTCTGCCAGGAGCAAGTCGAGCCGTTGGGAGGACGGGGAGTCGAGAGGTGAATCCAGAGGCTGTATGGTCGGGCAGTTGTATATCCAAAGTGTCACGCAGGGATGCGGTGTATTGAGAGGGATGACTGAGCCAGTAAGGCGTAATCATCCGGCAGTTTAGCAGTGTCCTCCGTCCTCCTTATGAAGGCCACCTGCTGATGAGCTGATTGACCACAGCTGCTGCTCTCTCTCCTGAAATCAGAGAAGCTCCCAAAAACAGGTGACGTAATGGTGTATGTAGAGTGCTCACCTCCCAGCTCACAACAGGAGCAGGAACTGTGGGCGCTTTAACAGCATCCATCTAAACACCACAAGATCTTCCAAGGACAGCAAGTGCCTCCGTCCTCAGACATTTTTATGGAGCTCACCCTGACATATTTTTTTAAACAGTACTATTTAGACTCAGCTGCCACCGAGCTCAGCTGTAGCTCCATCAATAGCTGTTTTATTGCTTTATCTAGGAAATTCAAAGTAAAGGATTTTTCTGACAGAAAGATTCTTTAGAAGTGTGTGTTACGGTGGTGTCTGGTGAAAAAAAATATTGGTGGAGCTATGTGTGAAAAGATTTCCCTCCTTTGTCAAAAGTTTTCAAATGAACTACTGAAAATGACAATTTGACAAAATGACAACACACCTCTTTGGTATCATGGCAAGTTAGTGAACAAGCTACCTCATTAACCCTCCCACTGTCTTTATGGGTGACCCCGCAAGGAAGGTTGACCATTGAGCAGGATTGATGGTTTATCCCTTGAGGTCCATGTGGCAGGGGTGAGGTGGTGCTCCACCTCAGCACCACTAACCCTAACCAAATAAATGTATTATTTAGTCTGGCAACGCTCCACTGACGGTTCTCGGTTGTGGGGCGGGTTCTACTGTTGTCTTTCAAATGATCTCCGCATTCCACTGGACAATGAATGTGACATACTCTTGTTTCACTCTGTTGCATCATCCCACCCACCAGGCATATAGAGTGCCCTGATTGGCCCACAAAGCAGATAAAGCTCTGTGATTTGATCACTAAGCAGATAGAGCACTATGATTGGCCCACCATTATGGACCAATCACAGCTCTTTATCTGTTTGAAACCCCTCTAGAGAGCTGTGATTGGCCAGCCAGAATGCTGTTGGGGCTGCAGAGGTTCCAGTGGAGCATTCCTAGACCAAACTTTGCAAAGCAAGAATTTGGTCTAGTTCACTAGGCTAACACCCAGTAGGACAGTGGGAGGGCTAAAATAAAACGTCCTATGTTGTCCTCTGCTCCCAGCGTGTTACATTGATCTCTATGTGCTGACAGAGCAGCAATGGGCGATCAGGCGCTGTCTAAACTCGAAAAACTAGAATATCCTGCTAAAGTTAATTAATTTCAGTAAAGCAAAGGGCCCAAGCCAAGTACTGAGTACATATACGAGTATACTTTTCAACTGTCTGACACTTCTCTATTTAAAATCCTCTTTCTATTGATTTCCTGTAATATCCTAATGGGGGTTTTCATAAGCTGTGAGTCAGAACATCACAATTATACCAAATAAAGGCTTAAAAGTTCTGGCTTTGCATAGAATGAGTCTGTCTCATATAGTTTCACCTTTTTAATTACTGAAATAGATTTTGGACCATATTCACATGTTTTGTTTCACCTGTAATTTCACCAGAAAAGAACTAAAACAATAACCTGATCAAAACACACAGTAGGTGATCCACACACTCATGCATGCATGTGTGCACCCGCACACACACACGCACCCACACACACGCACACGTGCGCACACACACACACCAGCTTTTTTTTCATTTTTCAATGATATTAAAATATATATATATATATATATATATATATATATATATATTTGTTCTTGTAAAGCGCCTCGTGATTTTTATCTTGACACAATGACTGAAGGAGAGTGTTGGAGTTTCCTTACTCTAAAAGCTCTTTCCCCTCTCATGATGACCTCACTGCTTTGTCCTTTGACACAGAGCCTGATGTTTGTCTGGGCCAGCCTCCGACCTCCCACCCTGCAGGTTCCCCCATGGCAGTGTGGGGGGATCTGCCTGGTCTTCTAAATTTAAAACAACATGTCAACATGGGGAATAGGTACGAACCCAATCAGAGGATCAAGCAAACAGAAATGTTAAGGCTCCTAAAAGAGGCTCATTAGGGTCACCATAACCGCCAGTGGTTCGTTACGGGTATCATGGTAACCATTAGTGGCTTGTTGTCACCATGGCACCCATCGGGAAATAATAAAATATTCATTTGGTTTTTGAGAGCATATAGATTCACCTCAAAGGCTGAGTATGGAACACGAACACCAAAGTGACATCTTGTGGAGGTTGCCGTTGCAACAATAGAACAAGGTTTCCAGCCAACGGGATAACAGCGTTGCTGCCGATACGTGAATCTTTTCTATATGGGTCCATCTGTTGTAGGCTTCACCTAAACTCACTTTGGCTTTAGATATTTGGTTTGTCGTCTGAGAAGGATAACGACATCTTCTGGGCTCAGACGCAGCTGCTTGAGTTAACCAGTTATATCTGGAGTTTGTTTACATTTTAAAGCAATGAGTAATGAAGATGTGCAAGCTCAAAATGGATGCTTCTTCATGCATCCCTTTTAAAGGCCTTTACCACTTTAATAGGATTTACAGGATCTGCAATACAGGTGGGTACGAACGTTTATTGTTACTCAGGAAAAATAGATTGCAAATCAAAATGTGAATTATGGTGAGTCAGATGTTTTTCATACAATCATCTACCAAACGTTTGCCTCTAATTTTGCTGTGACTGATACAAGTATGGGCACCATGGTATTAATAAGCCATAGGAAGCAGCTTTAACATTTCTAATGATTGTCTAATACAGATTAGTCTCAGACGGATCTTTTAATGGTGCACCATCTATCTCAGTGAAACTTCAGTCTCAAAAATTTAAACATTCAGCTGGTAGCATTCAGACACTTTGATTATGATCTGAATATGCAACTTAGAGTAAACCCTCCAGATATGGCTCATCTGTGATCCAGATGTTAACGTGATGTTGCAGCTTTTTGATGCTGCGTATGTTTATGTTTATGTATCTGGCAGAAGCTTTTGTCCGAAGCGACTTACAAGTGTATGCATTTATCCCTCTTAACTATGTATAGACACCCAAAACAAACTGAGTGGCAACAACCCTCCGAGAGACAATTCTAGTCAAATATTCTATTTAAAGGCTAAATAATGCATAGAAAAATCTCCATGCATCAAGATTAAATGTGAAATATGCAGAATAAACATATTCTGCCTGTTTTATCTCCTTTAATCATCCAAAATAAACAATTTAATCGACATTATTATTTCAAATGATCATTTAGAGCATTCTGAAGCATTATAAACACATTTTAGTAAAAAATCCAGAAAGCCTGGCTCCTTCTGAAGGCTGCTCCCATCTACTTCTGGACCACTGGTCCCTAACTGCCAAAGAAAACTTAGGCTCTCCATTTCATTTTGCCCATATGGATTACCAATACTTCAGCAATGCATATGTACTATATGAAAATGTACATATAAGCAATATACTATAAGAAAAAAAAGAGAGAACTCATCCAAGTTGTTGTTCTTTTTCTCATTATTTATTTCCGTCATTTCCTTAATTCATCCACCAAAAGAATCACTCATCCAGGAAGTACATTGATAAGAAAAGCGGTAATTGGTGTTTGTGAAAACACATCGGACCGTAACCGTGACAACCGAGACAAAAATCCACGCTCTGGGGTGTGATGTAGGCATGGGAAAAATGTTTGATTGCCTTTGAGCTGCAGTGCAGAGGGATTTGCGGACATTAAATAAATAAATAAACAAACTAATAAATAAATAATTAAATAAATGGCCAGACAGAGTCCAAGATGGCATTAATCATTAAAACTACCAATAAAACGGTACTGTGGGGTGCTGAGATTCCATATCTGAATATTTAATGAAAACTTTTAACTTAACCCAAAAGGGCTTTGAGAGGAAAAACTGTTCAACAAATATCAGCCCGCCAGTCGGCTAATTCCCGCCGTGACAAACAGGTTTCAGGAAAACCTTCAGCACTGCAGGAACACCGGTCTGCTGTGGTGCAGAATTTTAATTTATAGTTTAGTTTAATTAAGAAAAGCACCATTAAAGGACCGATAAGTAATTCACGTGAATGTAATAAATATGATGGAGATTTTTAAAGTCATACGTGAGATGCTAATTGTTCCTTAGTGCTGGCTCCCTGCTCTCGTCCAAGGTTTGTTTCTACAGCTGCACGCATCATGGGTTGCCTTGACGCCTAGTTAGAGAAGTGAGTTACATCTGTCATGTCTGGGTAGGAGGTGAGGAGGAGGAGGATGGGCAGTTGGTTTAGTCAACATGCGTGTGTGTGTGTGTGTGTGTCCTGTTGGACTAAAGCGGTATATATTCCTTAGTTCTTGGCTCATTTCACTAATCTTCATAGACATGAATGTGTTTGATGCCTTCGGAAATAAATAATTCAAAAGACTACTGTTCTTCTATTGTGTCTCATCGGTTTGATAAAAAATGTCCGTAACAATTTGGCACCCCAGATTAAACTATCCGAGTGAATTACCGAGGATCGGTTTACCGGTGGAACGGCCACCGAGAATTAAAAAGGAAATTCCGCTGTCGGTACAGGATCGGCTCGGGGTCGTTCGACTGCCGATGACGTCAAAGTAGTTGATTGGCTGAACATGAAGCTTACGGGAGTTACATTATCACGTTATGATTTTGATTGGTCAGAAAAAATTTGCGGTCGTAGTCTTAGCGGTCGTAGTCCTGTAGTCCAAAAATCAACACTTATTGGAGAAAATATGTTTGAATTTCTAAAGGAAATGTAAAATATAAGCAAATGATAAATGGTGACCCTCAAAAGCTCTTGATGTTGATGAAACGGGGCAAAATAAAATATAAGAACTTTGTTGAAAGACACCAAGCAATATTTAGAGTCAAAGAATGTATTTAGATAACAACTAAGGAAATATACAGACGAACTCCACATGAATACAACCAGATGTGGCTTCACATATAAGAACTGTTCTATTGTTTTTCAGTCCGATGTCGGTTTTATGCAGTTTTTATGCAGTTTCTTTACAAAACAAAGATAATATGGTGTTTTATTAACAAATTACAATTATAAAGAAAACATTTAGGTGTTAACAAACAAGAATTAATTAACAAAACTGCTGATGTCTTCCCAAAACGTGTGTGTGAAAGCCGAGTAGATTTGCAGTAATGTGACATCATCAGCGGGTGCCGGACCCCGAGCCGATGTGCATTCATAGCAAAATATTTTTATTTCTAAAGATATAATTTTTATTCTCAGTTCAGGGGGAGGGGGGGGGGGGGGGGGGGGGGGGGGGCTGATTGTAGGTTTTGTGTGTGTGAGCACGGCGGTCTTAAAGTCTGTAAATGTGTCCTAAATTTTACCAGCTGTGCCCATCTCTAAAGTGTGCTTAAAATTTTGCACATTTTTCCATCAAGTTCTCTCTCTCTCTCTCTGTCACACACACACACACACACACACACACACACACACACACACACACACACACACACACACACACACACACACACACACACACACACACACACACACACACGTATCATTTCCTTTATTTTAAATGAAACAGCCTCAAGACATCTCTGTAAAACATGTAACGGCCACTAGAGGGCAGACACTGACCAGTAATGTCTGGATCTTGTTTTCAGGAGTCAAACTTTGACCAGTGGTGTGCCCCCCCCCCCCCCCCCCCCCCCCCCCCCCCCCCCCCCCCCCCCAAAAAAAACCTCTGTTTAGGCCTTTGATGACAATAAATAAATAAATAAATAATGTGATTTTCAGCAGTAAAAGTGCTATACTAAAAAAGTTCTTCTAAAAGAGATTGAATGTAGCTGTTTAAATGTTAATTGACTAAACGTAGCCATTAAAATGCATTATGTGACGAAGCATGGCTGCTGTTAGGAACAAACAGAAATCTGTTTGTGTTTTTGGAAGAGGGCGGGGCTTAAGATGCTTTTGACGCAGTAGTCAGAGGAATAAAGACGAGCTCCTCCAGAGGGTGAAGCTGCTGCTATAAGGTTTCAGACCAGGAGCACAGATAGATGATGATGATGATGATCATGGACCACTTCACTCTGACTCAGTCTGCACCAATCTGAGAGGATGCTGCAGGAAACTTTGGGAGGTAGGATGGATTTCACTCACATTATCGTTTATTCTGCATCTTTATTTTTTTCTTTTTCTATATTTGCATTTTGCCACTGGAAGAATAAGAATGAAAACAACGAGAACCGTTGGGTTTGATGTCACCCTTATGGATATAAAACATAATTACAGGTTTCATTGAGAAGATAGCCATACCTTAACCTATTTAGCTTTTTCAAGAGAACAATTCTTATATTACCATCTTTTTGACGTTTATAAAATAAAACAAAGTTGTTCTAACCCCCATCCTCTCTCCGATTAGTTTGTTTTAATAATCTGAGGTTTCATATTAAATCAGCTGACGAAGGCAGATGGGAAGTAAATCAACTGTCCCATTATTGGACCATTTCCTCTTTAATCGAATGAGCGTCTCAGAGTTCAGACACAAGATGCTTGTTTACAGAGAGGCCGTCTGTTAGCTTCACTCAGAGTCAGACTCAGAGGCTCATTTCCTTCCTCAGACTGATTAGTTGTTGGATAAATGTTTGCAGCATTAATTCTGAGTTGTGTTTATTATTTCTGTGCTTTTGTCGTCTAGTCCACCTGCAGATTCTGCTGGCTGTGGGTCTGGCGGTGCTCTGCTACGGTCTGGTTCTTGGCTGCATCGTCTGCTGTCGCAGAAAGAAAAGGATTCCCTCGGCAGACAAGGAGGCTGTTTTCTTGGCTTCTCCTCCTCCTCCTGAGGAGGTGACCGTGACTCTGAACCTTCCTGCCTGCACCCAGCCCGTCCAACAGCAGTATGAGGAGCTGGATGGAGAAGTGTTGGAGTTTCCTTACTCTAAAAGCTCTTTCCCCTCTCATGATGACCTCACCACTTTGCCGTTTGAGCCAGAGCCTAACGGGTCAGCTGAGCCGGTGCAGTCTTCCCTCCCAATGCGGCGCTTCAGCTCTCCTGCTTTTCCCAGTAAAGCTGGAGGTCCCAGTAGATTCTCTTTGTCCTCCCTCACTAAGCTGAATCTTGTGTCTAGAACCCGCCAGGTCATGGGTCGGCGCCGCACGGTGAGTGGGGATGCTTTAGCATACGATGAGAGCAGACACCTGACCAGGCCTGGGGAGCCGCTTCTGTCCCGGTACGGTTCTCACTCCCTCTCCTCCAGACCAGCGCCTCTCCTGCACTTCTCTCTACTCCTCAGCTCTGCTTCCTGCACCCTGGTGGTCAACATCCTGAGTCTCTCTGGGGACAACCGTAGACGCGGTGGGGTGTTTGTCCGGGCCAGCCTCCCTCCTCTTTACCCCACCCCGCAGCAGATCCCCCCACGGCGGCGCAGCCTGGGCCCAGATCTCCACAGCCAGAACTTGGTGCTGCAGGTGGGTTCTGTGGAGGAGCTGCAGACCTGCACGCTGAGACTGGCTGTCTACAGCAGAGACTTCTCTGGACTAAGAGAGGCTGCTCTGGGTGTGATGGAGCTGGCCTGTGAGCAGGTGGACTGGCAGCCTGACACCACCACTACCTACAGCAGGCAACTCAGCATGAGTAAAGCCAAGCTAAAGAAGGTACAGATCTGACCTAACTTTTATTTGTTTGGTGCACAAAATGTAGCCAGTTTAGAAAGAATAAACCTGACTACAAAGAAAAAAAGTCTCTGGTCTTCTAAATCTGAGACAACATGTCAATGTGGGGAATAGGTACGCACCAGATCAGAGGACCAAGCTGAACAGAAATGTTAAAGCTACTAAAAGTGGCTCATTGGGGTCACTGTGGACATCACCAGTGGCTTGTTGTCACCATGGCACCCATCAGGGAATAATAAACGAATGATACAATGTCCCCCACTTTTTCCAAAGTTAAGTTTTGACTCTTGGCACTTTTTACCATCCAAAAACAATAGTATGCTGTATTAAAGGGGCATTATGGAAGTTTGACAGCCAAAACATGTATAGAAATAATAAATGTCTTCTTCATACATTCTCCTGCAATGCCCTGGTCCTGTAGAATGAGCCCTGGCATTTTTACTGTGATTGCCGGTTTTTCTGTAAAATCACAGAAAAAGAGAGATGCTCGGGTCGAGCAGGCTGCTTCATGCGCGTTCACGCTCAGGCATCGCCCGTAGCATTTGCTATCTGTAGCTTTAGCAGCAGAGAGAGAGGTAGAGTCAACTCAGCGACTTTGTCGCTGTTCCTAACGCCTGGTGACAAACCTAGCTACATTTCTGAGGACCCTTATATGTGGCCCTGAAGTGCAAACCACAAAAACAAATCACTTAACGCACAACAAGTCTTCTTCAGCCAACACGTCGGACATGTTCAGAAGAATAGAACCGGAGATAAAACAAGTTCTGGTTCGGAGCAAGAGTTTATAAAGAAGTTAGCGAGATCCAGCTTTTATTTTGGTAACCAACTTCCGCTTATTGGCAAGCAAATTTGCATATTAGCTAAATGTTTAAGTACCAGCTAAATATTTATTTTCCACGATGTTATTTAGCTCCACACTATATTTTATATTTTTGGGTCAGACTTAAATATTTATTTCCCAAATACTGATTTTGCAAACTAAATGTTTAACTCCAAAATAAATATTTAGCTGGGATCTAAATATTTATTTCAGAAAATAAATATTTAATTTACAAATTAAATATTTAGTTCCAAAATAAATATTTAGTTAGTAAATTCAATATTTAGTTAGTGAATTAAATATTTATTTTACAAACTAAATATTTAGATCAGACCTAAATATTTAGTTTGCAAAATAAATATTTAACTGCAAATTAAATATTTAGCTTGCTAACTAAATATTTATTTGGAAACTTTAACATTTATAAATGTATGAATAACATGATGAAAATATGACTTCGAAAAAGTGAACTCCCAATTTTTTCTCTTATGATAGGCAAAATAACCAAAAATATTGCTGTTAGATTATGACTGTTTGACTTTACAAATGGCACCCCATACCCCCTCCCCCGCGCTGGCTGTTGCTGCCACTGTAAGACACGGGGAAACCCTGGATGTTAAAAAAATGTACACAACAGATCCTGGATCGGTCAAAATTGCAAAAACCGCAGCTTTGACGGTCACGTGATCGTTCTGTTTGAAATCACAATTTCGGTCCAAACACGGTAGATCGTTCAGCCCTGGGCAAGCTCCTCCTCCACCATCTTGAGCGGTTATGCTTGATTCCCTGTTTGAATGTTCGTTCAGTTCGTGTGTAGTTTATTTTTCTGTATGGTCGTATTCTAGGACCACAACTGTTATATCTGTCTTTTATTGCCACATATGTGTGTGTGACTAGTCAGTGACTTGATGCAATTTGCTGGGTTCCTTATACAGGAAACATTATTTCTGATTGGCTTAATGAACTGACCTGAATTGGAATGTTTGCTATGTGAAGTGCCTTGAGATGACTCTTGTCGTGATTTGGCGCTATATAAATAAACTTGAATTGAATTGAAGTTTTAAAATCCTGACATGTGAGCCAGACTTGCAGTTTTCAAAAGTTTTCTCTTGGAGGGAATCAGGGCTCTAATCAGCTTGGACACTTTCCCAGAGCGGTTAGTCACGCTGACTTTGTTGTTTGTGACTGCAGAGGAAACAACTGATTGGCTGAACGCCCACACCGTGCCCTCTGTGATGCTGCTGCCACGCTGCCAGGAAGCATCAAAATAGCCTTTTTGGGGGGTTTGGGTTCAGAAGACTTTATTCAGACACATCTACTGATAACAGACTTCTGCAGCTTCTGAAAATACAAATGAATTTGTTTAGTCCTGGAGTGAATTGTTTTTTTTATTCAGGTATTCTGAACTGGTTTATGTTACACCATGAAATCAACCGTTTGATGTTTACACTAAGAAAAAAGCAATGTTCATTTAGTCATTTCTTGTAATTTTTCTTAGATATTAGGAGGTGTGAGTGAAAATAATAGCCCTTAGACACAAGTCTCAGCTCCCCTCCGCCTGGACTGGGTTGGGAGTTTTCTCATCAACCATATCATATCACATTCATTTGTATAGCACATGTGAAAAATGGCATGAGAGCCGACCAAAGTGCTGCACAAAACAACAATCATAAACTAACGTCCCAATACAGATGTACACAACCCATTTAGGTAGCGTTACTTTTTCTCGAACACAACCAGACATCTTTTCAGCCCTCTTCTCGAGGAGGTCTGCCTGGAGCTGAACAGGGCCGACACGCCCACCGCTGACTGACTGGCTGGCTCAAAAGCACGTCTACCATTAGGTGAAGCCTCCGACTGGCAGATAGAAACAGCCTGTGGGGGCTTCCCACATGCGTAATTCATTGGATGCTGTGGAGTTAACAAGCCTCTGACTAAGGCCTAGTCCACACGTAGCCGGGTTTTTAAAAAAACGAATATCCGCCCCTCCAAAAACTTGCATCCACACCACCTCGTTTAAAAAAACAAACTCTGTCCACACGTATCCGGATAAATACGTTGTTAAGGACATGCCAGACCTGTAGGCGGCAGTACTTCCCCCGTTCTTAACCTCGTCCTTCGTCTGTGGTCTTCCGCAAGGAGCAGTAATTCCGCTTGCAAAAACAAACAAGCAAAAAGCGCTTGGACAATTGATAAAGCGAGCGCAGCTCTGAGGGCATCCATGCTGTTGGCTAGTGTAAACACAGGTCGCACACGTGGTGTCAGCATTTTTTTGTCGCGGAAAGTGACGTTGCTGACCTTAAAACTCCGGTTTTGTCTGTCCACACGCAGACACCCAAAACGGAGAAAACGCAGATCTTCACTTTGGCCGGAGTTTTTAAAAAGATCCGTTTTCGTGTGAAAAAACTTCGTTTTCGTGTGGATGACAGGCCAAAACGTAGAAAAATATCTACGTTTTGGCAGATCCCCGGCTACGTGTGGACAGGGCCTAAAGCCGTATTTCGATGCCCCTCACTGCTGTGAGGAGGTGCGTGCGCACACACACACGCACAGAGTGCTGCCAGAGTCAGAGTCTCCAAAAGCAAGACTGCTCATGCTGCTTTTAAGGGCAACGGCGGCACAGGATTTCAGTGCTTGCCCCGTAATCGGAAGGTTGCAGGTTCGAGCCCCGCTCACTCTGTCGCCGCCATTGTGTCCTTGGGCAAAACACTTAATCCCCCTTGCCTACTGGTGTTCAGAGGGACCAGTGGCGACAGTGCTAGGCAGACTCCCCTCTGACAGTGCGACCCAGGCCAGCTGTGGTTACATTGTAGCTCATCCTCACCAACGTGTAAATGGGCGAATGACTGATTGTGTTGTAAAGTGCCTTGGGGGTTCCAGGACTCTAGAAGGTGCTATAACAAATATAGGCCATTTAACACACCATGGTCTTCTCAGCGCTCTTTGCCCCGTCCTTGTGCGCGGAAATGTGCTCATGAGATCACAGACCGCCCATGTGCTCAATCATGTCCGCATTCCTAAGGAAGTGTGGAACGAACACGGCCGGGCTGGAGCGGAGCCATGCTAGTGTGTAAGTGGCATAACTCAGGCCAGATGTGGTTTGATGTGAGTTTTTAAATCTATTCATGCTTTAATCCTTCATGAACATATGGACCGCTTCAAACATCAGAACTTCCGGGTCATTTTGCTCAACCTTCGTGGCATGTGCGTGTCTCTGTTTCACTGGGACACTTTCCGGGCCATTTCAGGGGCCAGTCGAGTACCTGAACTAGAGTATGTATTCACAAATGGTCCAGTAGAGTCGCCAAGGGGTAACCGCGATTACCGTAAATCCTCTAATACAGGCCGGGGCCTGTATTTGACTCAAGCTCATCAAGCTCCAGGCCTTTATTGGAAGGAGGGCCAGTATTAGAGGCAGGCCTCTATTTCTAATTGAGCAAAATGAACTAATGGTTCGCTGGAGTTTTTGACAATTAAAATTGCGCCCACATTTTCAAAGTTAAACACATTTCTTTTAACAACGGTAGTTTCTGCTTCAGCCCTCTCCCCCCTCCCCCTGCGCAGCGGCCGCAAACTCACTGATGCGTCTGCAGCCTCTCGGAGTTCCTGCTGCTCTAAACATTAAAATAATTATTTCATTTTCTGTTCCTCACTAATGATTACCTTCAATGGTGTCTGTTTGTTGCAACCAGCAGGTACAAAAACTAACTTGTTTTTATTTGACTATTTTTCTGTCCTGCCTGTTTATTATCTTCCTGCATCTCCTCTCAGTCCTAAAGAGAAACTGCTACCTGGGTTCATATATATTCACCTTATGAGTTACCTTTGAACTGCAGTTCTAAAAGATCTACCGACCGCAAAAACAGCGGAGTGCTCGCTGCTTGGCGGCCGCATCAGTGATCGGTGCGTCACCGGATGACAAGGTGATGCGCCCCGCTCCACAGCGAAACACATCAGGCGCAAATAAAAGACAGAAAACATTAAAGGAAATGAACCGACATGAACGATCGCGTGTCAGTACCGACGCTCTGGCACAGCGCCTTGCCCCCCCGAGCGCAGGAGCTTGTCACCTGCTGATAGCAGGCTGCTGTCTTTTCCGAGGGCTGCATCTTGCCGGTCATTATCACGTGACAGCGACTAGTCGATGACTATTGCTCCCCAGTGTTCTACAGTGCACGTTCTCTTTGAACTTGATATCAAATTTTCGCCTCCTCTTCGTCTCCGCACGTTTAAAGTTACCCTTGCGGTCTATCACTGGCAAATCAAAAGTGAGACGATGACACAACCGCCCCCCGTACTTGCTTGTTACCACATTCCACCCGGCCACAATAAGAGACCGGCCATTATTCACCTCCGCCGACTCCGACACCGGCCAAAATACGAGACCCGGCCGTTAATTGAATGCAGGCCTGTATTAGAGGATTTACGGTAACTTATGCTGATTGGACAAAGCTCTGTAGAAAATGACATCAGCAGATGTCGCCAGACTACTGGCTTTCGCATAGTTGGAAGGGTTGCTTGTGAATCAGAATGGTAGAAAAAGGAAAGAACGTAGTGTTGATGTTGCTTTAAATACACCATTACTACACTTCCAACACAAAAAAAATAAATAATACAACAGAAATTCTCCACAGTGCCACTATTTTGTCCACTTTGAGGTTTCCTACAGAGCACCATAAGAAACGGCACTTCCTCTGGTCAATGAATGCCTCCTTTAACTCATTCACAGTCATTGACGACTAAAGTCATCATTTTAAATCCAACCGTTCACTGCCAATGACCTGTTTTTACTTTGTGGGCATCGGAACGAGCCACCGTGAGAACAAACATCTCAGCTATGAAGCCGATATTCACCCGCATTCATCACACATCACGTGATCGGGAAGCAGAACATCCATGTGTTAGGGAGTTCGTTTTGGGCCGCTGCTGTAAAAAAAGTGAGGCGCGAACCGGAAAAGCTTCTGCCGATCACAATTCAACAACGGATTATGAAAGAATGGATAAAGTTCGAAACGAGCGGATTCTTCCTGATGTAAGAGGTGATTTTCCGCTTTGTTTTGGAGTCGACATCATCCTAGCGCGCAACGTTCTGTGAGAAACGCTGGCCACGAAGGGCTTTACCGATCAGGAAACGGCTGGCAGCGAATGAGTTACTGTCATAGCTGCTCTCCACGTCCCCCAAAAAGATTAAATTGCAGCGTACTTTGAGAGAATAAAACTTTTCATTTTATAAATGTCCATGGGTGCCTGTTGGCAGTGAGTGATCTGTGACATCAATCACTGTCAAAGCAGTCGCAATACGCTGCCATCTCAGCAAAGTCCTGAAAGGGACGATTTTGTATGAAGACATAATGGCTGAGAGGACAAAGCTCTGTCACCCTGTCACCGTCCTTTCTCCCAGAAGTTTCCTGGAGTTCCTGTAGCCAACTACAAAGTTGAAAAAGTATGGAAAAAAAGGTTTATTTTTTATATCTCCAGTGATCCAAAAGGATTCAAATGAAGGCAACTGGACATCTTTGGTTTTTGAAGATGTTTCGCTTCTCATCCACCACATGTGTGGAAGCCCTTTTGGATTACCATGACCTGGAAGACTGAGAACCTTCACCAGAACATCTCCAGTGATATTCAAAGCTTGAAACCAGTGGTATTTAAAGGGTTAAAGTTGTTAGAGCGAATCTACGGAACAAGCTAGGTTTTGAGCATCATCCCTGAGACGCCTCTGCAGGTATCGGAGATCTGTGATGCCAGAGGACACAAGATAGTCCTAAACAGCAGTCGCCGTTTTTCTAGGTCCAAATACCTTTTGTTGTTTGTGACTTCAAATGGTGTTTTTCATTTTGGGACTGTGGTAGTTTGTCCTAAAGTTGAAGTGGAAGCAGCCGGTTGTTTTGTCTTTCTCTGATATTAGTGAGCAGAGAACCTCTTGCACCAGTGGGTTTGTATTGCTAATTACGCAAATGCGTAATGAATGGAGGACCCAGGGAAGTTAGGCTTAGGCGAGACCGACATCCAGATGGTCCAATAGTTGCTTTCCATCCGAGTATTGGCGGAGGTTTTTACTCAAGTATGAAAGAACATCCTCATTTTTTTAATCTCCACAATATATTCATAGCTATATTAGGTTAGAACGTTGTTAAAAGGCAAGAAAAAAGTTTGAAGCTAATTTGTTTTCCAAAGTTACCATTGTAGCTTTAAGTCCTGCTTTTGTCTCTTTATTATAAAACTCCTAGTTTTTTAACTATCCTTCACAGGACACATCCAGATGAAATGAGCGTCTTCTAGTTGAGACACCGCTGTCTTTTCACACAACATCACTCAAAGGAGTAACGTCCTCCGAGATGAAGCGTTAGTGACAGAGGCAGTGAACTGAAACTTGATACAGTCTGGTTTTAGCATGCTGGTCGCCTGCCGCTGATCATTCAGCCGACAGCAGAAAGTGACTCACTGGGTCGCTCACAGCTTTGGTTAATGAAGGTTGACACAAACTCAGATGGAAATAACCACCTGATCCACACATCAGCAGATGCTGATATCTAAAGTGACTCGAGACAAGAGTGTTTACGATCTTTAGATACATTCAAAAGTTCCATGTAAAGATAATCAATTAATCTAATTAATTAATAAACCTGATTTGATCACATTAATGTTCATTTTTTTACATTAATATTCCGTAATATTCCAAGTTATAGTCTTACAAATATCTGGTCTTTTCTCTCTTCTTTACCCTCAGAGTGTGAGTTCTTTGGAGTCACCGAGTCGCAGGAAGAGCTCCGTTTGGGTGCCTCAGACTTTGGGGCAGCTCCTGGTCCTATTGCAGTACCAGGCGCAGGCCCGGCGACTCAAAGTTATGGTCCGAAAGGCTGAGAATCTGGTCAAAGTCACACAAATTCCTGGAAATGCGGGTGAGTCTCACACTTTTTGTCCTTTTATGACTGAGAAGGAAGGTTTCAGGCTGAGGTTATTTGGTTTTAGTGACAAAAATACATAATTTCTGACCCACACACACCATAAACCTGCCTCTTTTAGAACAATGAGAGTTTAATAAACATGAGGATCTGCACATTCCTCCAACAGATCATTATATCGTCATCAACTTGCGTCAGGATGGTAAGATAGTTGATTCAAAAGAGACAAAAGGGGTCGGTGGTCCCAACCCAGTCTGGAACGCTCCGTTCCTGTTCGACCTGCCTCCTGGTGACATCACACAGCTGTCACTGACTCTGGAGTTCCTCGTCATGCAGGTTTGAAGCTTTAAGGTGTCACCACTGTACAGTTTTAAGACAGAGATTGCTCACTTCTGTCTACTTTACAGGGTCGCCTCTACACCAAGAGTAGCATTCTGGGTCGCGTCCTGATCGGTACCGATGCCTCAGAGGCAGGACGGGAACACTGGAGGGACACATGCTGTCCAGGTCAAACAGAAATCACTCGCTGGCACATCGTCCAGCCAGATATACGGTAGAACCAATCCAGACCATTATGGTGTCACGACACCGGACTGTAGAGGGCGCTAACAACAACTAATACCAGTTTTCTCCACATCAGCTGTTGCTCCTCCATCTTTTGTGTCATTTCTAATTTATTCTGTATGTGATGTGAAATGTGATTACATTGTGGCTTTGTGTTTTAATCCTCTAATTAAAAATGTTAATGTTGGCTGGTCTCACTGGGCTGTGGCTGGCAGTGACTAGTATTGCACAAAACTGAGAAAAATACACACGGTTTTCTATTTAAATCAAAGAAAATTACCAAGGGGATCTGCCTAAACTACAAATTGCAAAATGTGTGAGTAATTTATTTAGATATTCTTAATGTATTTCTATCCATAATTTATTCTTCAAATTTTCTGCATTGGCGCTTCAGGCTGCGAATGCGGTCATTTAACCAGGGACTAGGGTTCACTGCAGGAACTGATCTGGTTCTGACAAGACAGATGTTGTCCAGAATGGAGAGGCAGTGCTCGTTAAACTGAGCAGTTAAGGAATCTGGGTCAATATCAGAAGAACAGGGTGGATCAAAAGCAGCAGAAAAATTGCTAGCTGTGCTCTCATTAAGAAAACGAGAACTAACCATACGGTGAGCAGGACGTGGGGACGCAGAAACTGACTAGTTAAAGAAAATGGTGATCAGAAATATAAATGTCCTCAGGACAAACACTGTCAGCATTTAGACTCAGGGTAAAAACAAGGTCCAGAGTGTGATCCCTGGTGTGTGTGGCCAGAAACATGCTGGTTCTAGCTGAAGGAGTCCATAAGGCTGGAGATATTCATGGCAAAGCGATCAGAGGGATCATCAATGTGGATGTTAAAGTCACCAGTCTGGACAGCTTCACAGTGGAAGATAGAAAGTCACTAAACTCCTGAAGGAAAGAACTGTTTGGACCAGGTGGACAATGAACCACAGCACAGTAGAACGGGTCCTTACCCCCGACTTTAATCAGCTGCAGTTCAAAGGAAGCAAAGTGACCAGAGGTTGTAGAGCTACATGGAAAATGGTCTCTGAAAACAACAGCTAGGCCTCCACCACGACCAGAACCCCGGGGCTAGCTAAGAAAAAAATAACCACTTGGGCAAAGTTCAATCAGACCAGAATAATCGGATGTTTGCTGCCAAACTCCAGTCAGAAACAGAAAATCCAGGTTTTTAAAGAGAATTAGATCATGCAGGAAGGACTTATTGTTAACAGAGCAGGTATTTAATAGCCATGTTGAGTGAGGTGGAGGAATCAGATACTACAGTAACAGCTGGAGTTAGTGGACGTAAATTAGCAGGGTTAGATCCACGGTGTTTATAAAAACCACTCATGGAGGAAACAGGAGGAGAAAGCGCTGAAGAATGAGGATAAACCGACCTTAAAAACTTGGATGAAGAAACCACGCCGCAACGCAGCCTGGCGGGAATGCGGAAGTGGCGCTCAGGTCGCCAAACAAAGGACAAGAAGCTAGAAGATCACGTGTTTACTAGATAAACCACATTTTAAGAGAAGTCTTATTTCTCACCTGGATTCCTGCTCACTTACCTCTTATCCTCCGACGTTTTCCTGGGACCGGATAAACATCGCTGGAGGCATTCAGGTAGGAATCTGAGTTTGGCTCCGGGCCAGTGTACTGCTCATGTAAGCAAACAGGGAGGTGAATCCTCAGTGCATCTTGGGCGATCGTGAACAAACGGAAGGACAACAGAGTCTGGCGATCATAGGAGATGGCAGCTGGGACACTACCGAAGAGGATCGCAGACAGGAGCAAGGTGGAAAAGAGGACGTTAGTGGAGAAAGGGGGAGAGAGGAGGATCCTGACTCAGTATAAGCAGCCATCCACCATGACTCACTGGGGATCATGCGCGATTCATTTTCATGCTGGATGTTGTAGCACGGAGCTGCCGATCAGTGTGGGAACGGGAGAAGAGAATAGCTGTGTGTGTGTTTGTGCGTGCCTGTTCTCCACATTGGAGCTCTTGCCCTGGTGAGCTGCTCAGGGGAGAAAGCAGTGTGTGTGTGGCACATGATTATGAGGACACACACAGCAAATTAATAAAATAATGTGGTTCTGAGTTTCGAAAAGCAACAGCTCATGCCTGCCTTTGTTTACCTTATAATGGAGGACACTGCAGACTTTCCCGCGTGTATTAAACGCCACCCACAGGCTCAAGGATTTCCACATTCCTGAGAAGTCACTTGGATGTACAGTGGGGCAAATAAGTATTTAGTCAGCCACCGATTGTGCAAGTTCTCCCACTTAAAATGATGACAGAGATCAGTAATTTACATCATAGGTACACTTCAACAGTGAGAGACAGAATGTGAAAAAAATCCATGACTTCACATGGCGGGATTTTTATAGAATTAATTTGTAAATCAGGGTGGAAAATAAGTATTTGGTCACTTCAAACGAAGAAAATCTCTGGCTCTCACAGACCTGTTGTCGCGTGCACGTCCCATTTACCGGTTCCGTTAGAACTTATGAGACAGTGCATCTATCAGGGTTCTGTGGGGGTGTCGGCGAGTTTTATCGTACTAGACCCTGGTTATGGACCTCCTAATTAGAATCGTATCTTTTATTTTAAAGGTGAAATGACTTGCACGAATAGTATCCCCAGAGTAGTCCACTTCTTTTAAACTCGTTATCTTTTGGTTAAGATACTAGAGTGAAGTCTGTAGGAAGGCCAATCCTCTCAGCAATTGTTTGGATTATCTGGATTAATTGCGCCTCTATCAGCTTATGTGGGAGGTTGGTAACTATAAAATGATTTTTGTTAGTTGATCAGGCTAACATAAATTTATCAATTTATTTAATTAATCCAACCCTCCAGCTGATAGAGACTTTTTCAACCTGCAATCAGAGCCAAAAATAACCTCTAATATTTTGGTTTTATCGCCCTTAAGACAACTCGTTACTCGCAGGTGGGGGAGGAGTCAAACTCCTCTTATCTTGAGGTTTCTTTATATTAATTTATTATAAACTGTAAAGTAAGTCCTGATAATTCAGAGACCTATAATCGACATGCTTACCTCCTGTGCAACAATGGTCAGGGCCCCCACTCGTGAAGCTTTAGAGAAAACCTGAAATAATCAGGATTATGTTTCTTTTCCAAAAAAGTTTATTACAAAATAGAAAAATACAAAAATGAGTAAATATAAAAACAACCGCTATCCCCCAAGGAGGAATTAGTTCAAAATGATTAAATAAGAGAGTTAGTTTACACCAGCTTGTATCTTCTGAGAATCTCCCCAGACTACTCCCCAGCTTCGATCTGGGCTGCTGTTTTTATATCATTCCTGAGACTGCTCTAAACAATGTAAGAGTCACAAGTCATTCTCTCCTGACAGTTTAGGTCAAGAGGTCATTTACCAAATACACTTTTTTTAGCTCTACACAAAACATTTTGGTGTCATTATCACTTCATGCAGTATTCACATGAGGGCACAAAAGTTACATGTTGCACCCCTTATGGGAGCACAGGTCATAAATCTTCATGTTGGTAGCAAATTGTAGGTCTTCCTTCAGCATTCCTGAGGACTTCTGGATCCAAATGGACTGTCTTTTACTCTTCTCCATTCCTTCTTTTCCCGCCAGAGGTGGATCCAGGGGTGGGGCCATGGGTGGATCCAGAGAAACCAGCCTGCCTCTTGACCCTTGGCCTAGTTCTGCCCCCGACAGCAAGTCCTGAACCCTTGTCCTCTTGACCCTTCTGTGACCCTTGTCTCTGACCACTGTTTCTAAGTCTTGACCGGCTGGGACTTGCAACATCCCCCACGGGGACGAACTTGGGCAAAGGACCATAAAAACAAAGAGCAGCAATGCAAGCCTTCGTAAATCTAGCATCCATCTCACTCAGGAACGGCTGAACACTCAGAGACCTAAGTGTGGCCTCAACATCAACCCTCATTCTCATCATAATGCCATCATCAGCTATGGGTAAACACAAGGTCCCTTTGCGGGTTGTTACATAACCTTTAAACTGCTTTCTCCCATCCGCGGGATCTTCACCCAAGAAGAATAAAGATAAATCCATCACCGGAGCTTCTCCACGTGGATGCGATCCCAGCATTTGCGGTGGGAAGCTGGCGCTGAAAACCAAAACATGATTTCTCGTATCTAACAAAGGTGCGGTCCCAAAAGAGTCACAGACTTCTGGGCCGAACCATCCAGTCTTTACAGACAAAATATTCATAAACTGGAAGCAATCTATAATCTTGCCTTGACAACGTGATTGACAAAATTTTCTCTACGATGAGAACGGAGAAGGGGGCTCCCACCTGTCCCGAGGGGACATTCGCATCGGGATATGCACTCGATTCTTGGGAGGTCTGGCGAATCGTGTGCCTCTCTCAGCTGTCCATCGAGGACGTGGAAGATTTGTGGATATTCGGCCTAATGATCACTGGATTTCTTCTGATTGGAGTGGAAGGATATCTGGTTTTCTGGAAATTTGGGAAGACGGGAGCAATTGGAGTGCGACCCGTACCCACGGAATGTGCCGCTCGTGCGGTGGCCTCACAGACTGGGACGTTACTCGAGGTGAACCGTAAGCTGGACAATGTCCTTGCGGCGTTGCCTGTGTTAGTGCGCAAGATGGATTTGATCTCGGAGAGGGTCGCCGGACGATGCGGGGATGTGGAATGTAAAATTGGCTTCACTGGTGGACATGAATGACCACTTAGAGACTACAAGACGGAGGGGAAGATTATCTCTGTCTACTCTAAACAAAGCTATGTTTATCCTGATCTGACGCCATAGCAGCCTCTCAAGGCTGCCTCAACACACCCCCACAAAAGGAGGAATGCCGACAGATGCTGTGTCCCGACCTTCACCCTCTTCCTTCAGGCTGACATGTCTGCAGGGAACTCAAATGTGCTCTCTGTTCCTTATCTCTCCCTCCCACCTGTTGTTCTGCAGCTGGTCGATGCGCCGTAGTGGCAGCTCCCATTGGAGGCTTCAGGATCCCGCCCACCCCCACCTCCCCTTTGGACTCTGATGTTGTACACGTGCCGTCTGTGCTTCCATGTCGGGCGTTTTTTTGCATTGGAGTGCTACACCCTGCTGGTGTAACCCTGTTAATGCCTTTTTTTACCCTCCCTGAACTTTCCTCATGTAACACCCTTTTCATCTAGCTATTAAGGTAGCGCGACTCATGTTGCGAATGACCGCAGTCACCAATTCTTGTTATGTGTCTTACCCACGTATGTCTGATCTTTGAATTGTGTGTGCTGAAACTGAATTTCATTTCTCTGTATGTCCTGTACATGTGGAGAATATGACAATAAATGACTCTTGACTCTTGACTCTTGACAAACAAAGTAACACCCCTTCTGGGATTTAATCCTCCATCGCAACTCCTTACCGGGGGCAATTCGAACAGGGGGAGGAATGCCTGCTGGCTCCCTACTAAGACAGATCATAGGGACTTCACTCATCACATCAGGACACGGGACACATGTCGAAGTTGTGGTCATTACTGATACAACTTCTTCTGCCACGTCAGATGAGGGCGCCGTTGTCAGCTCCTCGTCGTGGGTCCCATCAAGCAGGTCATTCATGCCAGGAGAGGTCAACATTAGTACGTCGTCCTCCTGACCAGCCTCCCGCTTGAGTCCCGTTTCCATTTGGTTTGGACGTACTGAATAAACCTGCAAGACACGCAGTGTTCATTCATCGTAGAATGCTCACATTGGAGTCCGATCGTCTTAGTCTGAGGCAATCCGTCCCTCCTGCGATTCACGGTGCACAAATAATATGTACCATTCAGAGAGAAAACAGTTGGTGGATTTGCAGAGGGGATTAATCCCTCTATGATATTCTGCAGGATCGAATCCATCTGAAAGGAACATAAATATGTCCCACATGAGATATATAACTCATTCTATGAAGCAATTAGTAATTGCATTACTGCATAAACACTTCTTAATTATAGGAGAAAATAAATCAGCAGAAGCTGCAGGAAGAATCACACCACAATTCTTCTGCAGGCATAGTTTTACAACAAAAAATCCTCATAACAAGTTTACACCAGTTATGAAATGTCTACAACATCCTAAAGATAAACTGGATAAAATCATTATAAAATCCTGACATACCTCAAGATTCAGAGCGTCAAGCAGTTCAGATTCAGGGTGAGTTTGATTAGCCATTTGTGTCCACTTCAAGTTACACTGACAGGTAAGGAGCAAGTGACATGCTGGTACATGCAGAGAGGCTTATACTTAAACAGGAGCAACAAGAGGGAGGGCTAATGCTCCCCCTGTCCTGACACCTCTCTTCCCATCTTATCTAGATGCACCAGGTCAGGTCTTCTATCTCCTAACAGCCTTCTTCCTGTCAACTGCCACTTGTTGTGTTTACAGGCCAAAATCATACCGATTAATAAAACAATCACCCCAGACATTAATCCGAGTGCACAGAGAGGCCAAAAGAGAGCATCCCAGACTGGCCTAATTATGTGCTCTCTCACTCCTTTTACTAAAGTTTCCATTGAATCAGAAGTTCCTTGAATTACATTATTAGAAACTTGCACCACACTGTCACTCACAATTTCCCCCACACCGCGAACTATTAAACTCACATGACGTAATGTGCCATTTATGCCATACGCAAAATAATCAAACCAGTCGGCTTTTTGCTGATCCAACGATCTTCGAAATGGTGAGCAAAAACCGCTTCTCAGGTCCCAATTTGGGAAATTTCTGAAGTTAGGAAACTCTTTGGGTGTGTCAGGGTAAATTGTGAATCTTTCAGGTTGAGGATTTTTCCCTAATCTAGGTTCATTAAAACACACATGATGGTCTATGCCTAATCCATTAAGGTAATTAAAATTAACCAGACTAAACGCTCCCCACTTAGTTGTTCCTGGGGCTGTGAATCCAGGGGGCACTAAGTCTCCAACCTTATCATTCATAATTATTATACGATCTAAAAGACCATTTCCGGTTTTCGTATCATTTACTTCCCAAGTATTTGATTTATCAATAGAAAACCAATTTGTTTTAACTCGAAGCTGACCATGTTCCATCACAAGAGTTTTAGTTCCCACTAATTTTCTTTCAAAGGTTTCTGCTTCAATCCGTGTGTCCTGGGGGTAATAATCATATTTTTGCTTATTATATCCCTCTCCATACCAGTATGTCATAGGATATGTCTCGTACATTCCTTTTCTATAATATCTATAATCTTCTGGAATATTTCTTTGCATATAACCACGTAAGACTTTATAGCATAATTCTCCAGTTCCTAAAGTAGCTATGTTTAGATAAGGAGGCCTAGGTTTAAAAAACTCTCGATCTCCTAATGTGTCTGGACGCAGACCTCCAACTGTTAATCCATATAGTTGTGAATACCAAAAAATACACATCCTTCTAGTTAACCCCTTAGTATTATTACAGACTTCCACCTGACATCCTTCAAGCATTAAGGTGTAATTTCTAGCCCATGTGGGACTGTGATAAAAATCTTTCTTATGGGTTGGTCTAATCATTTCATTTACTGCTTCGAATATGGAGTCTGCCTCAATTATACTATCAGGAGTAGCTGTACACTTTTGATAATATGCTCCTGCGATCCTTACTCTAAGTGGCTCGCCTCCCTGTCATAAAGCGCTGTTATTCGCTTTCTTGGTTAAACAGAGTCTAGTTTCCTCATTCCATGCATGAAACCCTGTATCTAAATTAGTGGGATCAGATTGATTCTTTTTCATCCATTGCACTACATTCGGGTGTTTAAAATTGGGAACTTCGTAAACCCATTCTGTATAAAGAGTGTGTTTTATCTTATGCAGCTCCCAGCCTTGTGGCTGAAGGCCTACCTCATTATGGAGGCTAAAAAATGTCCAATTAAAATATCTACTATTAATGGGGAGTATATAATTCTGATATCCTGTGTAGTTTGCATATTCACTATGACC